AGTGGTTAAGTTTACGCACTCTGTTTTTGTGGCCCGGGGCTCACACGTTCAGATCCCAGGCGCAGACCTACACACCACTCATCAAACCATGGTGTGGCAATGTCCCACACACAAAATAGAGGAAAATTGGCACAAATGTTAGTTCAGGGCCAATCTTCCTCACAAAACAACAACAACAACAACAAAACCATATGATCATCTCAAAAGATACAGAAAAAGCACTTGACAAAATTCAACCCTCCTTTCCTGATAAAAACTCTCAACTAATTGGGTATGGAAGGAACGTACCTGAATCATTAATAAACAATCTCCCAACAAAGAAAAGTCCAGGACCAGACAGCTTCGCTAGTGAATTCCACCAAGCATTCAAAGAAGAATTAATACCAGCCCTTCTCAAACTCTTCCAAAAAATGAAGAGGACGGAACATTTCCAAACTCATTTTCTGAGGCCAGCATTATCCTGATACAAAGCCAAACAGGAACACTACAAGAAAAGAAAATTACAAACCAATATCCCTGATAAACATAGGTGCAAAAATCCTTAGCAAGGATAGTTCAACATATGCAGATCAATAAATATGACACACCACATTAACAGAATAAAGGCTAAAAATCATATGATTATCTCAATTGATGCATACAAAATTCAACATCCTTTCATGATAAAAACTCTCAACAAATTGGGTCCAGGAGAAATGTAGCTCAACATAATAAGGGCCATATATGACAAGTCAACAGCTACCATCATACTCAATGGTGAAAAGTGACCGCTTTTGCTCTAAACGCAGGAACAAGACAAGGATGCCCACTCTAGCCACTTCTATTCAACATAGTACTGGAGTAATTAGGCAAGATAAAGAAATAAAATTTTCCAAATCAGAAAGGAAAAAGTAAAATTGCCTTTGTTTGCAGATGACGTAATCTTACATATAGAAACAAAAATTGTTAGAACCAATCAATGAATTTAGTAAGTTGCAGGATACAAAATCAACACACAAAAATCAGCTGTATTCTATACACTAACAATGAACCGTCTGAAAGGGAAATTAAGAAAGCCATCCCATTTTTACAATAGCATCAAAAACAATAAAATACTTAGGAATAAATTTAACCAAAGAGGTGAAAAACCTGTACACTGAAAACGATAAAGCTTTGAGGAAACCAACTGAAGAAGATACTAATAAATGGAAAGACATCCTATGTTGGTGGATTTACAGAATTAATGTTGTTAAAAAGTCCATACTACTCAAAGCCATCTACAGATTCCGTGTAATCCCTATCAAAATTCCAATGGTATTTTTCACAGAAATTTGAAAAAGAAAATCCTAAAGTGTGATTAGAACCACAGAAGACCCTGAATAGCCAAAGCAATCTTGAGAAAGAAGAACAAAGCTGGAGGCATTACATTTCCTGATTTCAAACTATATTACAGTGTTATAATAAGCGAAACAGTATGGTACTGGCATAAAAACAGACACATAGACCAATTGAATAAGTTTCAGACCCCAGAAATAAATCCATGCATATATGGTCAACTAATCTTTGACATTGTGTGTGCCAAGAACACACAATGGGGAAATGATAGTCTCTTCAAATAAATGGAGTTGGAAAAACTGGGATATCCACATGCAAAAAATTGAAATTGG